GGGGGGGGGGGGGGGGGGTATTTTTAAATAGCGTATTCCATTTTATTGTAAATGGACATGAAATTCTGAAGTAAAATGTAAGTTCCTTAAATTAAGTCTTCACTTTCTAACCCAAGAGTGTGCGAGTAGGAGACAGAAGCCTGCAGGGGAATTATACTCCGCATCTCATTTTCATGGAATATGTTATTTCTAACACTGAACCCTTTCTTCATGCAAGCGAGTCCTGTAACTGGCTAAAATAGAGTTCCTTTCTGAAGCAGCCATGCCATCTGCCCCTCTAAATCATGCAGACTCAACCTCTGATGTCATTAGGACTCTCAGAAGCATCACTACAAAAGAATTCCCTTTAAAATATCCCTAGGGGTGAGAGGTCTTGTTGTAGGAACAACCCCTTTGTATTTTTAAAACACTATTATTTTTAGGTTTGAGTTAGACTAATATTTATTAGTTAAACTGATTAAAATGGGGGAAAAGAATGTCAGGTAATGCAAGTATCTATATAGGGTTGATCACGATGTGCATCCAGCAGGTACCAATATGGACAGGATGTTACAGTCTTGTTTTTGCCAGGAATTTAAATGTCACACCCAAGACAGAGGAAAGTGAGAGATGGAGAAAACATCTTTACAAACAATCCAGGACATGAGTAGTTTGTGCTTTTACCTGGTTACATTTCAAAGTGGCTGCATTACTGCTTATACTATCTGAGGAACAGCTGTCTTATTGAAAGGCATAATGAACAGAGAAAGACAAGTTAATAAGTGATTTCACTCTCTTTATAGTATCAGAGAAACCACATATCCTCTAGAGGGCACCACATAAATTAATAGGAAGCTAGAACAGTTTTATATGTAGCCAAGACTCCATTAATGGTTAAAATTAAGAGAAATTTTAAGAGGATAGTTTGAAGCTGTAATCTAGCCCTAATCTGATCATTAATACAAAGTAATTTATTCTTCATATTCATATCAAGTAGGTTACTAAATATGAAAGCTTATTTGCCTACAAAGCTAGAGAACATTTAACTAGCTTCTACATTAGCATTAAAATGAAGATCACTTTTATAGGTTCACTGCATAACTAAGTAGATAAGACGCAATGAGGCAAATGACTATCTGCAATTACCTTAAGTGCATCAGTTCGAAATTTAGTGTAAATACCAAGTTTGAGTCAAGACACTCGCAAGTATCTTGAAAAAAATATGCACCAGAACTGGAATCTGAGGACTCTACAGCTATGTTGGAAATATTTAAAACCCAACGGCAACAGGATCTCTTTCACCTGTGGGTTGTAGTTGGACTGATCTGAAAACAAAATACTATGAACAGTTAATATACTAGAAGGTAAATATTCATTTTGCATACAGTCAAATTATAGTTGGGGGAAAATGACTGTGTAGAAGCCTGACCCCATCTTGCTTCCATGTCAAGTCACTCCATCTTTGATTTCCATTTCTAAGTAAACCAAGCTTTTACTCCTGCTCACCTGCAGAGCCAATGCAGCAGCCATCATGGAAGATTATGTCTTACATTCTGCCATCTTTATAATTTTTTTTTTACTGGCAAAAAGTAGTAGCTCAGATCCTCTTCCTTTTAAGATTGTAGTCATAAACAAGGGAGTTAATTACACATGTTCTTAAACTGTTGTTACCAGCTTATTCTAGCAAGTGACCCTTCCCTGAAAATATTTCACTAGTTACTCTGATGGCAGCTCCACCACAACCATTTGGGGTCCCATTCTGTGATGCACTGCTTGGTACTCATTTGGGTAGATGCTACCTGTAGGGTTGCACATTATGCAAAACTATCCAAGCTTTCATTTGAAGCATTCCAGCTGGTACTGCAGGTCAGTACCAACATGAATAAAGAGGAACAAAGCAGCAGCACAACTGCATTTCCCTTCCCAGAGATCTATGAGCAGCCTATAAAGTATTAGCTACTGGTATCGCTAAAACTATGCTATTGTACCATATGTTTATTTTTTTCACCATGGTAGTATTCAAGTACCTTCATGTCTATAGGATTTTAGTATTTGTTAACTGCACCTCAAAATACTATAGACAGTGGCTCCAAATTTATATCACCGCATATACTCCAATACTTGTGTAGTGGTACACACCCCTTCAGTACCAACTACCACTAACATATTTAATGCCAGTGCCATCTTGACTCCAGTCAGTACAGTGACCTAATGTGCTAGCAACTGCTCTTTTTAAAAATGTTAATAATTATAGCATGCAATAGATTTTGGACATATCTATTGGAGAATTTGAATCTACAGTCTCTTAAACAGAAAACGAGTAAAGTCCTAAACTAAGGACTGGCAGTGGACTGTGGAGTTCATTTCTAGACCAATAGTTGGAATCAATAGTACTGACCTGAAATAACCAAAGTGATGCAGCATGTTGAAATAAAATTGGTGAGCTCAGGTCAGTTTCTAGTGAATAAGTGGCTACATTCCTCAAAACTATTAGCAAAAATGATGTGCTTTGGCATCTTAGAGGCTAAAATCTTATACAAGCTACTCATTTATGAAAACAGTTCTCAGAACTTGAAGTCACATTTTAAAGTGTTTTGTTTGGACCATTACTGTAGAACATGGTAATGCCTCTGTAAAGGGCCAAGAGGATACCTTCATGTCTGTGGTAGAAGCACACCAGTGTGGGAAGCCTACAGTGCTTATGCTACGTGTGCTCTCCTTGATCTCTGAATAGGGGACTTCAGTCTAAGGCTGTCATCTATGAACACTCTTATTCCCTCTGTTCCCCCACACCCTCCCCAATTAAAATAGCATGAAGTTTAGACATGCACAATACACAATATACAGCACTGTATTGTTTCCTATGCAGCAAGACCTCGAAACTAACAGGACTGCAGGACTACAATATTTACATGCTAAATAACAAAGACAACTCCTACCTCAGATAGTCTCTGCGACAAAGGATAAGGTTGGCTTTGGTGTACAAGGTGGAGCCCACCTCCCCCAAACGACAGTCACAGCAGGCACACTTCAGGCAGTCCTCATGCCAGTATTTGTCCAGGGCCTTCAGAAGATACCGGTCCTTGATCTTACGGTTGCAGCCAGCACAACCTTTCGGCTTGGTGTCTGGCTGGACTGAGAGCATTTGTATACCTGAAACAAACATACACATGCATGAGGTGTTTAAACGGCTCACATCAAATTGCCAACAGCATTAAGATTCATTTCCTCCAACAGGCTGGTGGGAATGTCTGCAGGGTTCTTTGCCTCTTCTCTAACACCTCTGCCTTCTCTGTTACTTGGAAAAGAGAGAGAATTAGTTAAGGGACTTACTTTTTTTTTTTTTTTTAAATCATCTGATTTTGACTGAAGCTTTGAATTTCTAAACACCAAAATATTCAACCAAGTTCATATGAAGGAAAAGCCCCAGAGATCCTGAACTTGTATTTGGCACCAGGGGCATTCAAGTGTTAAGCAGGCCTTACACCTGCAATTTTTAACCAGGGTGCAGCAGCAGCTTGGAGTGCCTCGAGAGCCTTTCAAGGGTGCTGTAGGGTACCAAGCAATGTTAGCCCTGCTAGGCGTGCAAAGATCATTCACAAGATAAACCCAGAGATTTCAAATAGTATTCAAAACATTCTGCCCTGTTGTGATCTTTTTGAGGTCTTTGTAACAGAGATATTCTCTTATTTTTTCTGTAATCAAAAAGCTGGCGTTTTCTGAAGGGAGTCTCACATTAAACAAGAAGTGCCTTGAGTCTAAAAAGGTTGAGAGCCACTGCCTTACACCCTTGCAAGATGAAAAAGAAAGGTTTGGGGGTTTTTTTGTACAGGTGGGAAGACTGAAGCAATCAGAAGAGGACTTGGCTTTTTAAACCCTGAACAGTACGAAGTTTCAGAAGATGTACAAAACAAAATCAAATAAATATGCTTAGCCTTCAGGATCTTTCATTTTCAGTGTGATCATTAGCCATATTATTCTGTAGCCAAGCAGGAGGTAAGGCAGGGTGCCATCTTGGAGGCTAACTGGATCATTATCTTAGATTCATTTAATCTAGAATGACACCCTGCCTCATGTCCTGCCCATTTTCAATGTGAGCACCTTTAAATCCAAGTGCTTACATGGGAGATCAACTCTAGCAAAGTATTTGCCCCTGCACCAATCAAGTGGCAATACAGGCTAATGTATCAAGAGCATCTACCTCTCCTGACTCCCACTAACCAATTCTAGCCAATACACAATACTGTTAACATGGATTTGATAAATTAACTAAATTAATTGTTATACCTCTTTAGATATAGCAGAAGAAACCTCTCAATATAGGTATCAGCCATGCAACTTCTGAAATTGAGATGGGAAAGTTGGCAAGGAAAAATAAGAGTCATCTTATATAGATCATTTCAGACCAAAGGACCTCTTTAAAGGATTAGAACCTGAATTATACTAGTTGTTCAGCACTGCAAGGAAAAGAGAGGGTGGGAAAGGAGGTAGAAATCACTGCCCTAAAGAGCTTACAGGGTATTCATTTGTCTCTCTCATCTTCAGAGCAACCTCACTATCAGTAGCTTAGAGTCCCCCCCACTTTTTAAATATTTAACAGGACTACATTATTGGTCCTCCTACTTGTATTATATCAAGCAGCATGCTTTTGCTCAGTGTTTCAGGTAACTTGATGAAGGCAGAGGGTTGTTTTGTTTTTAATTCATTTATGTCCCTAAATATGAATCCAGTATTAAACACTCAAAATCTAATGAGAATTTTTTTGACAAAAAACACAACTATCCCACATCCAAATCCTCCCTCCCCTAGCTCTTCAGAAAGAGGCTGAGAAAAAAAAAAAAAAAAATATATGGACCTGAAGGTCAAATACAAACTTTACTGTCCTGCATCACGCCAATTCCAGAGTCAGGACCTCTTCACCAAAAATGCTCTGCTACCTCTAGTTAAAAATTCAGGACTGTAACATTTCCAGTGAAGCTCAACTGGTGTGATAGGACACCAGGAAGGAGAATGCAAGTCTTCACAGATAAAAGACTGAGCTCATGAGCAGAACAAAGTCAGGGGTAGCCTTCGAAACAGAGGTGAAAGCTGCAGAGACATGTAACACTGAAGGGGAAAAAAAAAAATGGCTGAATTTTGCACCAGCTGGTTCTTCCAAGTGGTCTTTACACGTAGCTAGAGCTGCATGCAGTGGAACTCGCTGAATTACTGCACTCTGCATAGATTCCGATCCAGTTAAGAGGCTTTCAGGGGTTAAGGAGAGCAACTCAAGTCTTGCTTAAGAAGTTCAGTTGTCACTGAAGCATGCATAGCAATTCCCTTTTTTATTGTGGCATGCAGTTAAAACAGTCCATTTCCCTAACACACAAACTCCATTTGCACACTGCAGAGTTATGATTTCTTTTGTTAAAGATTTCATTACATACAAAATATTCTTAATCATGTTAATGCAAATGAACCCAAAGTACATCAGCATCAAACAGAGATGTCTAAAAATTCATAGAACTAGAGTAGCAATTTTATTTTTCTATTGGTAAGGACACAGAGCTCCGTCACTTACGCATAATAAGTCAGTGAAATAAGTCCCCAACTGAGGTACAGACATATCCCCATTCTGTAAGTGCCAAACTGAGGTAGGGGTTAAATGACCTGCTCAAGAAGTCTGCAGCATGTCCAGAAATAACTGTAATAGCCAGATTCAAACTAGCCTCTTAAAACACAAGGCTACAGGCTATGGCCAGGTCTATATTATGCAGTTCTGCATTCATAGCTGTTGGGCCTAATATGTGGCAAGGGCTACACACTCTCCTGCTGTAGCTCTGGGGCAAATGAAGCTTTGTTGACAGAGTGCTATCAACAATTTTGCTCATATTCGGGGACGCTGCATGGCTATACCTTCTAAAAAGCTCCCCTCAGCATACTCTACATCTACGTTATGGGTTTCTGCTAGCATAGCTATAGCTGTGGAGACGCTGCTATGTAGACGAGACCTATCCACTCCATACGGCAGCTTTCATTTCCAAGTGCTCTGTGAGCTGCACACAGATCTATGAAATAGCCATTAATGGGGCAGGAAAGTGAAGAATGGGAGCCAATGTGAGCCCCGGCAGAATGCCCTGGGAAAGTTATTGCTAGGGACACTGGAGAAAAAGTGCCCTATGGGAAATCAACTGCATCTTTAGTACTTATACACGGCAAAAACAAACCTTGTTTGTTTTTTTTAAAGTTTCCATGCGTTTTCCTCCATTATAAACATTTGTTAAATGCCAACAGCATGATAGGTTTTGTACAAAACCAAGACAGTCCCTGAACCACATATACAGTGCAAACAAATAAAGTAGACAAGATATACAACTTATGTCAACTTCTCGGAACTCAGTTCAGAAGGATGAAGGACTGCGCTAGGACTTTAATCCTTAGCTTGAGAGAATCCAGGATAAACCAGAAGCTAATGTGGTTACAGCTTCAAAAAAAATAAAAATAAAATAAAGACTTAAACGTAAAAATGTTGCCATCTGATAAACAAGGTAGAGAACGCAGGCGGACTGTCTCTGATCCTGGCTGATCAAACTAGAGAACAAGTGTCCTGCTGTACTCTGAAGTGAACAAGCTACAATGGTGAAGCGAGTTTAATAAATAAATAAAAATCCAAGAACTGAAATAATCAAGCCTCTGATTCTTAAAGCTGTGCTGCCAATCTGAAATCATCATGTTATAAGTAAGGCTGCTGTCCACACAAATCCTACAACTCGTGCGGGGTGGGGGGGCAGAATACCTAGGCACAACATCCAACACCACTTTATCAGATCCTTGTGTAAAAAAATAAAGATTCTCAAATTTTATTCATTGCTGCCAAACCACTTCTCAGCTACGACAGCAGACCCCAACCTACAGACAACTAAGTCTGTTTTCTGGGGCTTGTGGAAAAGAGGTGGTTTGGACATACCCAACAGACATTCTTTTGAAATTAGGAACTTAATCTGCAGTGCCTCTTAGAGGGAAGAAGAGGTTTTTCATATGAACCAAATTTAGAAGCCTTCTTCTCCATTACTTGGAAGGAAACCACTTCCCTTTTTGTGAAAATTCATTTAATACAGACAGTATTTTACTATATGGAGCAAGAATCACTTAAGCTTTCTACAGAAGAGTCTCTGCTCTCTGCCCTGTTCCCACATCTCCCAAAACTGATGGCAGTTCTTCCACATCTCTACTGCAAGTGTAAGAGATTCCCTCCCTCTTTTTCCTGTGGTCCCAAACAATTTCAATCCAATGATAATTAAAGCAGAGGGACATTATCACCTGGGCAATGTTAATGCATATTTATATTACAAACACTCCTCTCTTTAATGATCCTACAGGATACCTATACCAAGTTTACAGTCCATGTAGCCATTTTTAATATGATGTATTAGCTGCAAATAGAGTACCTACAGCTTGGCGTGAGCCAGCTCTTCACAGACCACTGTTTTGGGTATTGCTATTCTAAAAACCAGCTGGGAAGGACTTAAGACAGACAGCATCTAGAAAACTTGCCTGCATGTTTTCTGCTGAACTGTAGGGAAGGCAGCACTGATCTCCCAGGATGAAGGTGCTGCCTGTGTAGCACTTCCAAACAGCAAGCAGGACACCCAACCAGTCAAATCAAGCTCAGGGTTTCCCTACATTTGTGCAGAACCATGTATGTTCTGCAGAACACACCTCAAGACTAACTCAGAAGTTCCCAAACTTTTTCTTACTGCATACTCCCTTCCTGATTTACTACCTGCCTACATACCCCTAAAATGCCAATTAGAATGAAAATGAAATCAGCCTTTACAGAATTTGTCCCGCATACTGCCCCCTCCCACCAAAGTTGTCTTGCATTCCCAGTGGTATGCGTGGTCATACCCCCAGTAGTATGTGAACCACAGTTTGGGAACTCCTCATTTAACTCATTGCTTTATAAGTCTCATCTGCCACTCTCCAGTGAAGGTTTTATAGATCATCCTAATATTTTCCAAAAATTGTACAAGTTACCGCATCCAGCAAAGCTTTGTATCTTAGAAAGAAATATTCCGAGTCTGTCTCCTGTCCCCTTATGACCTCTAGGGGAAGGAAAAAAAAAAAAAGGAAAAAAGAAAGATTTTTGCTTTTCTATATGCAGATGTGTGCACTTTATTGCCTACAAGCAAATCCTTCATTACAACCAATTCCTGCTCACTTTTTTTTTTTTTAAATATTAAACATGCTGTGAAATGACTATCACAGAGTTTTTGGCCACAAAAGAAAAATAGATAAGTAGGAGGGAAAGAGCTAATCCAAAGAACACACACAACCAAGCATAAATCTCTACCAACCTTCTCAAAATGATACTACATGATTGCAGGGCATCTTGTTTGCAGTGTGGCAGTAATTAATAACTGTACTCAAAACTGGTGTCCTGTGGTGCTAGGTGCTGTACGATTGTACAAAGCATGCCGCTTCATCCTTGTAGTGATGATGCTTAGTTTTGTCACTCAGAAGCTACAAGAATGGAAAGTTATGGACGCTTAGTGTATTAACCTTTCAGGGATAAAACTGTCCCCTTGGTTAGGTATATGCAGTGCTCTTACTAATGTCAACAAGGATACATGGCAAGAGCAAAAAAAAAAAAAAAAAAAATTGAACCTTGCTTTAAAGAAAGAAAGAAAGAAAAACCAGTTTGGCCATCACCAATTTTGTTTGTAAAACCTTAATAAAGCAAAATCTAGAGCTAACCAAAGAGTTAAAGATTCAGTGGAGAGTAAAAGGAACACTTTTCAGATGTGCTACCACCTTGTAATTACACACTTAATGTGGTCAGCTTCCTCCAACTACTCAAAAGGAAAAAATAATACACCTATTGTAAAAAGAAGAAAAATAAAGAAGAAATTAAAGCGTTCATGGACCAAGAAACATTTCATAAGTTGCTTATAGCACATCAGGAGTTGTAACTAGTTTTAGATTGGCATGTAAATTGTTCTGTGGAACATTCTTATTGCCTCCGAGACCCTGCTATTCTGAGTTATTTGACAGTTTAAGGGAAATCATAATTAAAAAAAGAGACATAAATAATAGCCTGTGCAATGTGGTGCGCAGAAATAAGTAGAACCATTTCATTTAAACTCTGGTGAGCTTTTAATTGCCTGGATTGCATTGTGAACCAGCCTAACGGTTGATTGCCTCCATTATGCTCTCTTGTTCTGTGCCATTCATCCGCACAGTCTCAGCTTCTGTAGTTAACACAACAAAGTAACCGCAACTCCATAACACCCAGGGGTTCCCCCCCCCCTTTTTTTTAAATTTAAAAAAGTAAGGTTTTGAGTACACTGAATATAGACTTTTTTGTATACTTTTGAGCCAATTTTTTCCCATGGTAAATAACAGAACTTCACTCCCTCTCTCCTAAAAACATATATGAAGTAGGGTTTTTTTGTTTTGTTTTTTTTAAGGGCAGTGCAAGGAGAGGGAAAGTGGAGGTTAGGTAGAAGCTAAAAATGGGAATGCAGTCCCACAGCTGGGAGCACCGACACAGAACAGATTAAAAGAATTTGGCCAACATGGCCATTGGATTGCCAAGAGACACCAAACAAAAGATTTTTCTTCTTCTCTCCTTTCCCCCACCCCTCACCCTTCCCTTTCTTTTTGAAAGCTAGATTGGGCCTAAAAGCTTGTTTCTCTCTGTTCACTGGCCCAGAGCATCCCTGCAGGCTGTAGCCCCCTAAGGAACAACAATGCAAATAGATGTCCCCAGATTTCAGGGACTGGAGCTGTTTCTTAACTATGTTCTTACCCCTACACATACA